TCTGCTCATATTGCACTATTATTGCCATTGCTGATTGTAAGTTAGAGGGTATAACATTGACTTTAACTTTTAATGCAGTGGAGATTAATATTCCTAGTCCCCCCTCGTCCCTACCATGATTAGATGGTTTTGCATTTATTCCATAGCCTTTGAAACCTTCTAAAGTTGGCGACTCAGTGGTCCATGTCTCTTGTAACAATAAGATGGCATGCCTACTTAGATACGTACATACACAGTCATAATAAGATGTCATGCCTACTTAGATACGTACGTACACAGTCATACCTCGCTCTACCTGCCTACCCCATGACATTCCAAGATACTAAGGATAAGGGTCAGTTGTAATATGATCTCTCTTGAGGCCAACCATTGGCCTGTTCTTGCCACTCAGTATGCAACCTCCTATATGGTTGAATTTTTTATCCATCAACCCATTGTTGTTCTCTTCATGCCTATTTATTTTCTTCCTTCCACCTGATCTCCCTCCCATGAACCCTACCCATCTATTTCTATTCCTATTCCCAATTATAACTGATATTGGTATACCCTCCTGAAGAGCCTTGTTCCCTTGTTGCTGTCTATGACCCGTGGGCTCTGCCGATATATTTGATGCAATCTTGGGTGAATTCTTCTCATGGGGGGAATCCTGCTTTCCCAGGGGCTAATCTTTCTAATTCTAGGACATTATCTTTGATCATGTTTTGTAGCTGGAATTAACTTTTCCACTTTATTAGAATTCTTTATGTCCTCCCTTCTCTGGGTCTTGGGAAATTTCATTTTGTGTTGGGGATTATTCTTGATGTCATTTCTATACTTCCTAGCTGCAATCATCTTTTTCGGCTGTTTGAGGAAAGGACTAGAACAGTCAGCTCTATCCAAGAGTTTGAAAAGTGGGCCAAAATTGATACCTTTCCTTGAGTTCCTACTCTTTCCTCTTGGTAGAGTTACTTACTTTCTACCACCCTTGTTATCTCTACCTTTATTTTTGCCCAGCTTCCTTTTTGGCTCATTCTTACAGACCTTACTACTCATAATTTTAGCCGAACCCAATGACACTCCTTCAATATCCTCTATAAATTGATTTAAATTATCCTTTACTACACAGGGAGGTTGGTTATTGCCCTCTACATCCTTCTTAGAGGGATCTGGAGAAATATTGTCATGTTGTATAACACGCTTAGGATCTGCACAGTGTAAAAGCTCTTCCAAGGAAAGGTCAGAGATTCTGTCTATTGTATCTGGAGTTAGATTATAATACTTAGCCTTATCAGGGATTAAAACTGGACAGTCTTCTTTGTTATCTCTCTGCTGTGATTCACTGTTGGACAGGAGCCATTCCTTCTTTATCAAGTATCCTAGTAAAACTATCATTAGGTCTTTTATATCAAATAAAAAGTCCTGAATTCCCATCAAGTGTCTTAATTTGTGGATGTCGGACTCTTCGTTGGTATTACAATGAGGCTCATTAGTAGTCCTATAGCTGTTATTCTCTGGCATGGGATGTTGATGTACATCATCAATGAATTCTATTGATTCACAGCCATTATCCTGATCATTACAGCTTTTTGTTTCCTTGTTCGATTCAGGACCCAGGGCGGCGGGGGGGGGTATTGAATGAGGAATATACACCTGGCTGCACCCATTGCCCAAAGTCCACATCAATCTCCCCTGATATATAGCTGTTTTCTTAAATCTGAAGATCATTTGTGATACACTCTGGTAAATCAATTACTGAACTTCTTCAGGACCTCTGAGTGACAAACTCTTCCCAATCATTCTTTCATGTACCGTGTGTCCATGATTTAACAAAATCTGTGATTTTAGCCTGTTTCCATTGCTTCTTTGTTGGGCCACTGCTAATTCCCACCATGGAGACAAGGTCCTCTTTTAAACCAATACTTGGCAAGGGAGATGATTCGACTCTGCCTGCAGTGTCGTTTTCCTCTCCACACAAGGTCAGATTCTTCTTATAGTCGTTGTTATTTCTTTTAAATTCACAGAACAGGTAACGAAGAGAGGGAGAGCATTTTATAGTGATTGCAGCACTGGATACATTAAGGTAAAGTCTGCAAGCTCCTCATTTCTTAAGGCTATAGGCATCACATTCGCTTCACAATCCAACATCATGTAAAAGGTAGCAAGGATTCTGTGCCACATCTTCTCATCTAAATCATTTCACTTCTCTATCTTACTTAACCACTGGCTCTGGAATGTTACTTCGTTCCTTTTCTCTAGCTCCTTCTCCACTCCTCTACTCACTGTTGTTAACAGGATAATGAATTGCTATTTCAGAGGAGTAGGAGTAGGAGCCCACTCCTGCTGCCGCGCAAGCAGTTCAATAATTTATTTCTTATTTCAGCTAGAGTTGCCAATTCAATCTAAGCTGCCCACCAAGGACAGCAAAGTGCCAAGCATAAAGCCTTATACAGTATCTTCTGGGGAGGCACCATAAACAAGGAATTAAATTATTGAATGGAGTCAGCAGGTCTGACAGATAAGGGAGTCAACCTTACCCGACCAGAACTGGAAGCCAATGGTCCTGTCTTTGCAAGTTAAGTGTAGCAGCAATGTGAACCAGATATTGAAATGTAGCTACTCAAAATTCCTATGAAGCAGAGGTGAAGATGGCAATTAACAGCATAGCACCATTGTATGGAAAAGGGTGCTGAGCCCAACCACTTTTCCTCCAAGACTGCTTCCACACCTCATCCCCATTTACCTCATGATAGGGCTTGATTTCTGAGCCTCACCACATGAAGAACAGGTGAGGACTGAGGTAGAGGTTCACTTCTTGTCCATCCGTTCTATAAATGGACTTGCCCCTCCACCTCACCTCACACCACATGGTTCTGATTGCAGTGAAACATGATGGTACAAAGAATACTCCTTTATTCTCTTCTTGGTTAGAGCCTACATTTGTTTTCACTTTGATGGTAACATTTTTAACCTCTGCCAGGTTCAAATAAAGACCAGATGCACATGATGTCCTCTTTGCTGACAACTGTGCTTTTGTTGTCAACACACACTATGCTACAGCCATACCTTACAGATCACTTCAAGCATTCAGCACAGAACTTTGGTCTGGGTTCTAATCTTAAAAAAAACATAACCTGTGGTACATCACCAGACTGGCACTAGGCCTATCGCACTAGCTGTGATGAAAACTCAGGACACCCCTCTCAAATTCATGGACAGTTCTTGCTATCTCAGGTCTAGGTGGGGGGGGGGGGGGGGCAGAGACAGCATAAAGGTCCCTGATGCAGACCCTGCTATGGTACCAGGGCATCTGCTTATGCATTGCTAAAAATGTGAACAAATTATTGAAATACAAACATATTACCAACTAGCATGAGAAGTGAGGTACAGTATACTAGTGCAACTTTAAAATTACCAGTAATTGCTATCATTTAAATAGAGATACCCACCCATCTGATCATATCAGACCCCTATGTTGGCTCTTTCCCCCTCTAAATAACTGTAATCTGGAGCTATTTAAATTACTTACTATCTATTATTTGTCCAGGCTAAATTGATGTAGCATTTGAGAAACTGGCCTATTGCTTTTGGAACAATCATCACTTTCATAGAACTGTATTGAATATAAATTGTGTCACTGTGCACTTCACACATACTTGTGTTTTTAATATATACTTCATTCTTGGAATCTTCTATTTTTACAATGAACAACAATAGAGACTGGTCCAGCAAAGTATTTTGTTTGGCTAAATACATCAATAAACTATTATAGAAACTCTGACGTGTTTGGACAGATTATTGAATTCAGCTTGGTTCAAGTATTAATTTAACATCACTTTGTTTAATTATCATACAGTAATTGCATCCCAGTGAGAAGGTGAGACCAAAGGCTGATATAGCCTGGCATCCTGTTCCCCAAAGTAGCCAGCTGGATGTCTCTGGAAACTCCTCAAGGAGGACAGGAGTGTAATGGCACCTTCCCACTCAAAGTCCCAGCACTTGGTATTCAGAGACATAACTCAGTAGGGCTTATGTGTCAAGTCTTGCTCTCTTTTCACAGTCCACCAGCACAACATCCTCAGACCACAACTTTGGCCCCTAAACAATACCTCTAGCACTGACCACTGGGAAGGTCAACATTCTGCCTTCTGACAGAGGCTAACTATAAAGGCAGAAAGGTTCTTGATGATACATGGCCTCTCATCAAGAGATAGAATGAAGTGCGGACACACATGCACACACACAAGCTGAAGCCTATAAACTTGCCCACATGGTCAACACTATCCAATCTGAAGACATTTGTAAGCTGTCATACTGATTCATAGAGCTTTTATCTGTACTTGCTCCTGACAGATTTTCTAAACAGGTCTTCACAACACAAGGTGGGGGGGGCGGAGTGTTTCTCCTTGTGAGTTACCTCCATTACAGAAGTGTCGCTGAACATGTGAAAGGTACAAAAAGGCAGAACTGAAAAAGGTTGTGTGAGCAGACAACACACGTGACCAACATTGTCCAGTTATATTTTCATTCACTGTTTCATTCATTGCCTGGGCAACGCACAGAGTGTGTTCTCAGGAGCAAAAATGTGCCTCCATATGTCCCAACAATGTGCCTCCATATGTCCCAACTTTTTTTAATGATTTATTTTAAATTTTGGCTTTAAAAAAAAAGTCCCATGCACTCTCTAGAGTTATGGGTGACAATTTTGCCATATTTTGAGGGTCCCACCTTCCAATTAAATATTCTGGCCACTAAAGGGAACAAGGGAGGTTTTTCAGTTATGTATAAGAAAATATTTGTGTAAGAAAAAAAAATGGAGTTTGAGGAAGCAGACGAGGCCCTCTAAGGCACAGGGATTGGGGGGGGGGATTTGTCCCCTTAGACCTGTTAAGATTGCCTATCCCTCACTGTTAGCAAAAATGACCAGTGACAGAAATGGCAGAGCCCTAACACAAGGTAGCAAAACACAGCTGAACTTTATGGCCAAATTTATACAAGGAGAGAGTTATTTTCTGTTATTTTACCTGAATATAATTCTCCACCAGTTCCCATTTCAGTTGGATAAGATAGTCTATTATTTGATGGCTCAGGAATCCCAGCACTCCTACTACTATTCCAATAATGCCCATAACCAGCCAGCGATCCCAGTCTGATCTAAAATAAAATAAAACAACACAACACAACAACAAAAACAGATAGACCAACAATTGCTCATAAAAACATAAAATTAGAGAAACGTACAACAACAAAAATTAAATTAAACAGGAGCAGAGGTATGAAAAGCCTGTGTAAAGAGCCTTTACTTTTTTCCTGAAGCCAGGGAGGGTTGGGGCCTGGTGGGCCTCCAAAGGAAGAGAGTTCCATAGCATGGTAGCCACCACTGAGAAGGCCCATTTCCTAGTAGTGGATTCTGGTCCTCTCTTGTAGTGACCACTCATAACATCACTGCTGAAGTATGGGTGGGACTAGAAGTTAGTCTGTGGACAGGCACTCTGACAAGTAGCAAGGTCCCAAACCTTTGACGGCTTTCAATGTCAATAACAGCACCTAGAACGTGGCATGGAAGCACACTGGCAGTCAGTGCAAATGCACTAGAACAGGTGAAATATGGTTGTATTCTGATGTTCCTGAGTAGTCCTTTCTGGCAATTTGTCCTGAGATTTCAGATTCTGCAGTAAATATAACAGTAAGAGCCAACTCATCTAACTTTCACCACTTAACTCAGTCATAAAATTTAACGCATAGTCCTTTGAGACATTATTTGTCACATTTATTGGCCCATTTCTTTGGAATATCTACCACAGTGGTTTGAGGAAGTAGCATAATAAACCATCTCTTATTTCTGATTGCTGAGATGCCAGAATATAAAATAGATCCAAAAATCCACTTTTCCCTCAGTCTTTTCAAACTCAATCTCAACTCTCTTTTCTCAGTTAGTTAGTTCAAATTAGCATACAACTTCCCCTGGCTACAGTAAACTTTCTCAGTTATAATTATTTCAGCTGCACAGTCTGCTGTTTTGTAATACAGGTTTGTATTAGTATCACCAAGCAGTGCGTTCTCAGCTACCTATAAAATCTTCTTAAAAGTCTTGATGATGTTTATTTCTAGTGTCCTTCTGTCCCCAATGAACTCTGTGGCATTTCGGTCAGTCTTCATCAGAAAGGTATTATCAGCTGATTGGGAATCTGAAAGTGTTTCTAATGGGGCAACACAACGCCTTGCACATTTTATATCACAGCAGCAACCCGACCAGCCTGCATTCTTCATTGTTACCAACAGATGGCAATAAAGGGCTTCTGCTTAATCTAGGACATAAAACCGTTTACAGTACCGTATATTGAATGAGTATTTATGCAAAAAGGAAGTGACAGGATATTTTCAACCTATGAAATATTCATATGAGGAGAAAATATTCTCTGCTAAGTACTTAAATGGGCTCCTCTTGACTGCATGTATATTTTTGAAACAATTCACATTAGACCTGTGGTATTTCTTCCATATGGTGCTCCCAAGAGAACTGGCATGACTCAGTGGGTTGGAGCGGCAAGCCACGCAGTCCCAGATCATCTGACAGAAGGAGAGACTGGCTAAATAGTTTAGCAACTTGATGGCTCATAATTTATTATTCTGATGCTGCCAAAAAGGCGGGGCAGTGGGAGAGAATTGCAAAGAAAAGGATAAGGAATAGACCTCTGCCTTGATTTTTCTAAGAGATGGGAATTGTCACAGGCTGCATGTGGCCTCTCAAGGCCCTCTCAGTGTAGCCTCACATTTACAATGCAAACAAGCAGAGTGTGTTTATGCTTGCATACCCAGGTCCCACCAGTGGTAGCCTCACATTTACAATGCAAACAAGCAAAGTGTGTTTATGCTTGCATACCCAGGTTCCACCAGTGCCAAAGGGCATAGCTACACCATTCCTCAGGAATCCCCCATTACCCTATGAGGGTGGTTTAGGAGCTCTAGCACAACACTCACCGTCCTCTCCAAAATTATCATTGCCTGCATACTTTTGAGGGAAGCTCTGACAGTAATATTATATAAAACAAATAAGAGGTGCAAATCTTGGTTTAATCTGCTGCATGGTTCATGGGTGTTGCAGCCAGACATGCAGATGCCTGTACATTTCTTTGCTCCACATGTGGGCTAGTCCTACTAAAAGCAGCAGAACTATGTTGGATGTGGCAACTGATATAACTATGAACAAACTGAGCATTTTTTCTTTCCAGGAACATGATGTGTCTTGAAATAATGAATATGGTTAATTGTCTTTTTAATAGTGTGGGTTTTTTAATACATACGTAATTATTTTAAAACTAAGATCAAGGCCACTGGTCCCATCACCTCCTGGCAAACAGAAGGGGAAAATATGGAGGCAGTGACAGATTTTACTTTCTTGGGCTCCATGAGCACTGCAGATGGTGACAGCAGCCATGAAATTAAAAGATGCCTATTTCTTGGGAGGAAAGCGATGACAAACCTAGACAGCATCTTAAAAAGCAGAGACATCACCTTGGCGAAAAAGGTCAGCATAGTCAAAGCTATGATGTAGCATTCATGTTTTGTTAATTGTTCGTGCATATTCATGTTGCTGAGAGGCGGAGCTGAGAGTGATGTGATCAGAGGCAGAGCCTGAGAGAAGCTGGAGTCAGTCAGAGAGTATGACTAACATGAGAGAGTGGAGAAGGAGTTAGAGTGTGGAGTTTACGGAAAATCTGAGAGGTGATTAGAGTTAGGCGTATATTATCAAACAGAAGATTGTTGTTAATAATAAATTTACCTAAAGAAGATATTCATGAATCACTATCAATTTCTATAATCAATAAACAAAAGTTATATTTAAGAGACTTTGAAGAGTGGACCTGAATCTTCATCTTCCTGAAGTAATGGTGATTTAGTGATCACACAGTGGCAGCAGTGTAAAAGAGGGGATTGTTTGCCTTAGTGTGCTCTTGAGTCTTGACGGTCAAGCAAGGGGGCACGAGAGCGAACGCCACATATGGTTTTTCCAGAGAGTGATGTATGGAAGTGAGAGCTGGACCATAAAGAAAGCTGACCACCAAAGAATTAATGCTTTTGAATTGTGGTGCTGGAGGAGACTCTTGAGAGTCCCCTGGACTGCAAAGAGAACAAACCTATCAATTTTGAAATAAATCAACCCTGATTGCTCCTCAGATCCTGAAGCTGAGGCTCCAATACTTTGGCCATCTCATGAGAAATCTCCCTGGAAAAGACCCTGATGTTGGGAAAGTGTGAGGGCAAGAGGAAAAGGGGACAACAGAGGATGAGATGGTTGGACAGTGTCTTCGAAGCTACCAACATGAATTTGATCAAACCCCGGGAGGCAGTGGAAGACAGGAGGGCCTGGCGTGCTCTGGTCCATGGGGTCACGAAGAGTCGGACATGACTAAATGACTAAACAACAACAATTATTTTAATTTTTGTGTTTTCAATTTGTTGTTCCTCAAAGCAGGAAAGGAATCGGACATGACTAAATGACTAAACAATTATTTTAATATTTGTGTTTTCGATTTGTTGTCCCTCAAAGCAGGAAAAATGGGGTAGCAATTAATTAATTCATTAAGAATATACATAATTTATTTAACTTTATAATCCCCATTTTGATTTACTCAGAAGCAAGAACAAGAGTTCTGCAGGGTTTACTTTTAGGTAAGTGTACATAGGATCACAATCAAGTTGACAAAATGGAATTGTAAATGAATCACATCGAACAGAACTGTAGTTCATTTTTCTTAAAGAAACAGTGATAATTAGGTAGAAAACACACATTTCTTCAAAACTCTCTGCCCATTCCCACTTGTTACCAGGGCTCACAGGCTCAGTGTTGCGCGTGCTCATCAGTGCATGAAAATGTCTGGTGTGAATTGAGGGAGGTGGGGAGGGCTGATGGGTACATGTCCCTGGGCTCCTCTGTCAGGGTATTTAAACATCCAAATCTTGACATCCTCATAGCACTTGGACTGAAACAGGGAGTGGAACACCAGCATGGCAATTCATGTTGTGTAAGTCGTGGCAGTAATATCTCAGGGCCTTGGAAAAATCTCACCTGGGCTGGTGGTCAGCTTTGACACAACCTCTGAAGCATCACAGGGCCTAGAAAAATTCTACCTACAGTATAGGTGCTGGAAGTAGAGCTGTGCAGGATGAGAGACCTGAATGAAAAGGTGGCAGCAAACACAGATCTGTATATATTTTGCTGCCTGGCCTGACACCCTAAAACTGTTATTTCTCCTGGTTCCAGGTTGTCATGCTACGTGGTTGGTTATATCTAGGCTCTGACTCCAATTGCCTCAGTTCTTCTCTTACGCTTTTCCACAATCACCCAGTTTCAATCCCATTTCTAATCTTGCCTCTGGAACATCACAATGAGGTCACCTTTGGTCTCACACTTTGTCACTGACACCTCAAGCAATGGCACAATGCTGATTTACAAATAATTTACTTGTTATTAGTTTGTTGTAATTAAATCTCTTCTCGGCCCCTTTTGCAATATTGGAGGCACTATTATGCTTGTAACACAAGGGATAATTTCAGTCCTTTCCCAGTCTGACCAGAACTGGTTTAGTTACTTTTTCTGCTACAAGAGGCACAGTCTTATTTGTTGACAATAGTGTGGCCTTAAGCATGTTTTGTATGATAAATGTGTCGCAATCTGCTGGCTTAAACAAAACCTTTAGAATTAACAATTTTAGGTACCTTCAAGAAAATAAGTTATTTTTACAAATTATTAATGATTATAAATACTTGTTTCGGAGTACTTGGAACAGTAACACAACTTTTCAAAGGAAAATTGAAATGCCCTGGTGTCCTAGGGTGGGGGTGGGGTACCAACATATTTACTCAGTTCTAGACCTTGGCAGACCACACTTGCCCCTTTTCCCCCCAAAGAGGTTGCTGCTGCTTATGTATAAAAAGCAACTATTTCTGGCCTCCTATCCTGAAAAGGGGGAAAGATGCACACCCTGTATACCCAGGTCCCCAAATCCTATTCAGTGTGGAGATTGTACTATATGAATCTGGAAAAATCAGGGAGAGCTACCCAGGCCATGAATGATATAACACTGAAAGGAACGTCCCCCCTCTCCTCACCCTCAATTGTGCAATTTCTTACAGCCCCCAACTTGATAGTATTAAATCATACATGAATTCAGGAGAAATTTTTAGGTCTGTCAAGGATGTGGTTACCTGTAGCTTTGCTCTTGAAGCCACGTCTTGTAAACATTACTGTGTGAAGGCAGATAATCCAGACTCTCTGCTGTGGACAGATGTTTTCTTTTCTTCTCTGGAAAGCTAGTAATTCTTGAGCAACTTTTGTCATTCTCACTGCTGCTGCATCTGGGATCAAGAGATTCAATCAAATCTGGCCGATCTTGAGCCAGCAGCATCTGCTCTTCACTACTGCCCATGCATCTCTTGCGAGAAAGAAGGGTTTGCATAATGCAGAACCCCAGTGACCATGAAGGAGACCTTACGTCTGTGAAGTGCCCTCCCTAATGGAGATTGGTGACAAAGGCAAGAGAATATTCTAACTATGCAGCAAGGAAGGACTCACTCGTTTATGTTGTGGGTTAGGTTGTTGCAGCAGCAGAGATTCATCACGCTGGTACCACCCAGAGCTTGCCAAAACTAGATCCAGTTTGTACTGGTGAATTTCCCACTAGAAGGGTTTGGCATGCAACAGATTGGAGACAACTGTCTTCTTGAATAAAAAAAGAGGATTTGTTTGAGGTTTAAATGCAACATTACAAATGACTTTTCTAAGAAAGAAAATAATCATCATCGCAGGAACTTATAAAAATGTATATAAGACGTATTAAATTTTTATACGTATTTATAATATTAGACTGTATTCGTAAAATAATTAAATTAAGTGATTACACACAACAATTATATTAATGCAGGTTTGTTTGTTTTTTTTGAAAAAGAGAAAAGCCCAGCAGCAAAGACTTCAAAATCCTTAATAGCTAGCATCAAGTTTGGCATGAGGAGGTGGCATTGTCATGTCAAGCCTCTGACAAAGTTCATTCCCTGGTCTCACTACCAACAGGCAGAATCCTCTTTCTACTGAGCATTCAAAAGCAGGATAATGACTGTATACATTGTTCAATACATAACAACTGAATCTGCACAACAGGCACTGTTACTCCATATGTTTAAGAAACACAGTCTTTCTGAAAGCAGAAAATACCTACTGCACTGTGTTACAGATATGTTTACTGTAAACTGAAAAACAGGAATATTTCATGTTTAAACAAAAGGACCTGAGAGTCCCTCAACTCAAAAGAAGTTCCACCCCCTTACAGGAGTCTGGCTATACAAAGAACCAGACAATAGAGGATACTGCAACTCTTTAGGATGGATTATTTTGGCTTTCCAACAGATAAGGGGTGAGAGAAGGGCATAAATCTAAACTATATGTTTGACTGGGGAACTTTCTCCTAGAGACCATACTGAAAACTGCAAATTTCAAAAATACGTACATTCCTGGGTGAAGAAGATAAAAGGGTGACTTTTCAATAACATACTCAGGTTTTTAAAACATTTAAATAAATTTCAGTTATCTAAAAAAAACCCCACTGGAATGCATGTACAATATAATGCGGGAAGAGTATTTCCCCCCCCTTTTATGTATGCTGCATTGAGCATATGGCCTTCTTGGCAGGAGAGGGCAAGAAAGAATTTAAAAAGTGTAATTCTCAACTTCTTTCTTTGAAAAAGGGGAAATGAACCTGTTGCATACTTATAGAGAGACACAAATATGGAGTTTTCTGTCGTTACAGGAACATTAAGTAGCTTAGTAACTATTTGAGTAAAATGTAGTATGATTATAACCAAAACACTGCAAAGCAAAATATGGAACTTGCCACTTTCCAAAGCAGAGTCTAAGGTACATATTTTTTGTTACTACTTAGCAAACATAAATTTTATTATAAGTTAAGAATGTAACGTGGGAGTTGTTTTCACCTTGACCATATTAGAACTCACAGATCAGACAATTAAAATGACAGCAATAACAGTATGAAAAAAAAAACATGAGAAAGTATAGTTTCATTTAATAAAATTGTTTGGAACTTTCTGCCATGAGACATAGCAGCTATCTCGATATGACAAAGTCATAAATGACAGGATGATTTCTGTTATCAGCATGGGTAACATGGGTCTTCTAAATCCTATGCACGTTTGTTGATAGTAAAACATAATCATCAGCATAGAGTAAGATTGCAATTTGGCGAGAGGCAAGTTTGGGTTGATGAAAATTGGGGTTACTTAAATTCCCAACTAAGGCATTGATATAGAAGTTGAACAAGGTGGGGGCTAGTATGCATCCTTGTCTCACTCCATTAAGTACAGGGACTTGGTTGGATAAGATCCCCGCGGAGTTACAAAGAATCCGCAAATGTGTATTTTCATGAAATCGCTGCATCAATAGAAGCCGTTTATCGATACTTGTGGATTCAAATTTTGACCACAGGCTTGGTATGAGGTCAAAAGATTTGAAATATATGAAGGCTGCATGTAGAGCACCACCTTTGGGGGCAGAGTATTTAGATGCCAGGTGGTCTAGGATAAGACCCTGGTCTATGGTGGATCTTCCCAGTCTAAATTCTGCTTGTTCCTCTGCAAGTATATTCTCCTCAAGTAGCCAATTTTGTAATTTGCCTAATAAATGCCTTGAATATAGTTTACTAATGGTGTTTAATAGACTTATTGGTCGATAGTCAACAGGATCCCCTGTTTCTTCTTCTATAAATTGGGACTACGATGGCTAGGCCCCAATCCTCAGGAAAAGATGCTGTTTTATCAATCCAGGTGAATAAAGAGGCTAGTACAGGAGCCCACCAGTCAGAGTTGGACATTATAAAGTCAGATGGGATATAATCGGTTCCGGGAGCCTTGCCTGGTTTAAGTTGCTTAATTAGCATTAAGGTTTCCCTTGGAGCAACTGGGGGCCATTCAGGTATATGATCAAGCTCATTCTGAGAAGTGAATGTACTATCTGAGTGGACTGTATAAATACTTTGAAAATGTTCCTCCCATATACTAGGCAATATATAGAAATCTTGTTTGGGAGTATAAGTTAGCGCTCCCTTTGTTACTATCTTCCAGAAGGAGGCCGAATCCTTCAAATTGGAAGCAGTTATCAAACATTGCCAGGTTTCCCTCTGTGCTTGAAGCTTTTCACTTTTAACCAGACCCTTGTACTTCTTCTTAAGCGTAAACCAATCTGTTGGAATTCTAGCCAGGTTTTGTTCTCTGTAGGCCCTATAGGTGACCAGTAACTTATGTTTAGCTGCTTTGCACTCCGAATCATCCTTCTATCTGGAGAAATGCAGAAAAAACAATTGATAGTACATGTCTTAAGATAAAGCCTGATACTATCAACACACTTTGAACTGATTTGTTTGCTTCAACATCTAGGTTAGGATGATTTTTGAATTCTTCTGTCCCCTCTACCCAATAATAAGCTCTACGATGAGTAGTCACACAGAATTCAAACATTCGCATGCTTCTGGTATTGCAGTGGTCCAATTAAGATATTTTATATCTTTATTTCTGGAACTACTGTTGAAAAGGAACACTGAGTTAAACTGAATGCCATGGTTTCTCAACATGTTTACTTTGTTATACAAATGTGCTTTGAAACCAAAAGTGCCTACTGCTCACAGTTCAAAAGCCACTGTGTAGCTACTACATCTTTTCTTTTCTTAATGGATTTCACTAGGATAATGAAAGGCTGAAGAAACAAAGGATAAAAATGAGAGGACCAAGTTGAAGATGCTGTCAGCTAGATCCCACCCACTTTCCAGTTTCAGTGAAAAGGCACTCTGAGACTATCGCTAAAAGTGCACTCTTGATACGCTCACAGAAGAAACAAACTCACCCATTTGGTTTTTATTCCCTTTGCCCTGATGTAGGCTTCCAACAGCTGACTATCTGAAACCATATATACAGCTTAAAGTGAAGACTGCTCTGAACAGTTATTATAGGCAAATAGATTTCCAAATATGTAATCATACAATATACAGAACAGGTACTGAGAAAACAGTGTAGTCAACACGCTCGAACAGTACTATTCTCTTCTAAACAGAGAATGAGCCAATCTTTCAAAAAGCTGCAGATACTAACAGAGGGTAACCCATAACATTTTGCTGCCTGAAACAAAGAATAAGATCTCGTTATTCTGTATATTGAAGCCACCAGACTGAGAGTTGAAAATTTAGCCTTAGCAAGGGTACAGCATTCTCTACTACAGCAGAGGACTGAATAGGTGCACTGAAGGCCACTGGACACATGTAGCTGTTCTCGAACAGCTTAGTACTATTCCCAATACCTGCAAGCTGAAACAACTGCTTCACTTTGTAGCAAGGCATGGAAATTACCATTACAGGTGCCTTTGGTGTGCAAAGTTAACATTATACTTACCAACCCTCTTATCTAAAAAAAATTATTTGATTACCTATAGTTTAGATGTAGTTACATTATGCATTCTGTCTAATTCATTCTGTGTATATAATCAGTATTTTGTTAACGCAGAATTCAGGCTTCAAGTCTTCCATGTTCAGAAGAATGTGACAGTGATTCGTTAAATTCTATTTCTACTTCACAATCACCATTTAACACAGTTCCAAAAGAAAGGTGTGTTTACCTAATTTTCCAAATAAAACAAGTTTTCTTGAAATGAAGCTTGAATGGTAGAGAAGTGATGCTAAGCTGCAACATGCAGCCGTAACCAAAACAGACATATAGACTAAAAAGTGAAGTCCTGCTTGATTCAACACTTACTTCTGGTAATCAGATTTACATACAGTGGTGCCTCGCTTAACGAGCACATCGTATAACGACAAAAATCGCATAGCGATTAGGGTTTTGCAATCGCAAATGCGATCGCATACCGATGGCCCCTATGGGCAAAACTCACATAGTGAAGATCGGTAAGCGTTTCGCTTACCGATCTTCGTTTTGCAATGCCCGACGATCAGCTATTCCGTGGTTCCAAAATGGCCGCCGGAAGCCCCAAAATGGCCGCTCGCAGCGTTTTCGCGCCCTTCCCTCGCTTACTGAGGGCGCGAAAATGGCTGCCGGCTATGGGAAAACTTCGCTGAACGGTGAGTTTTGGCGCCTATTGGAACACATTAAACTAAGTTTAATGTGTTCCAATGGCTTTCCCCGTTCCATACAGCGATGTTTTCACATAGCAAGGGTTAATCCGAAACGAATTAACCTCGCTATGCGAGGCACCACTGTATAGGATGAGGGCTTATTCACACATACACTTAGGACCACTTCCCATGAGATGTGTTGTAAGCTAAAGATATCCATACAGTGGACCCTCGACTTACAGCCTTTTCGAGTTACAGATGTCTCTGGCCACAAAATTTAGGTTTGACTTGCAGCCGGAGAATCG